AACTGTCTGTTCTCGCTCTCTCCTTCATCCCCAGTGCCTAAAACAGTCTAACTCATAAATAAATAAATAAAGTCAATTTTGCTTTAAAGAAGTAAAGTTCAAAATTATCCTATAGGAGAGAGGTTATGTGGATGCATATAACTCTTTAGCAATTGGTGGATCAATAAATAAAGATGGCATGTAGTAAAGAGTGTAGGATTGTGGAAGAAAAAGAAAGAGACTTACGGAACCACTTTTGGAGTAGTCCAAGACAGTGCTAGTAGAGAAAGGGTAAGTAGGAAGATTAATCAATCTCCTGATTGATTAACCAGGAGAAAAATGATCAAATCAGGTGAAAATAAGAAAACCTACTAAGTAACAGCCAATGGGATTGCCTGAGACAGGAAGAGTCCTCCCATTGAGCACAGTCCTTCTTTGCCTGCAGCAGAGATGATCAGCTTCCTGTCAGTGAAGCATTGTTGGGAGCATCCAGCAATGAGGCACCAGAGAGGCTTAGTTTAGTTCAGCTCCTGCCTTGTCCCTCCTATTAGTTTAAGATCTGTGTTATATTTCAATGTGGCATAGTACTAGTGACCAAAGGGATTGTGATTTTTATAAAAGGAAAGAAAATGACTTAATTATGTATGATACCAGCAAAAATAGTAGAAGTGGAATTCTAATACAACCACTTTTGAAAACCTTCTGCTTTTCTCAGGTCATCTTGCTCCTGTTCTTTGTACTTCTGTCAGCAGTGCTCAGAGGAAAGGTGGAGTCTTTGGGTGACTAATGACCAGTCTCAGAGGGTCTCATCCCCTTATTTCCTCCAAATATAAAATTGAAAATATTATAACCAGCCTTACCTTATAGAGAATATTTGCAGGCAATTGATATTCATCATACATTTGTCAAGAAATATCACCTACTAAATTCTAAGGTTTCTACTAGGTTCTGGGGATGTAGCAATGAACCAGAGAGACACAGATGCTACCTTCAGGGGAGGTAAACAATGAAAATAACAGGTAATATATTATTGATTGGTGCTATCTGCTGTACAGAAAAAAAAGATAGGGTAAAAGGAATAGGTGGTGCTTAAGCATGGTTATTCATACTAGCTGATCAAAAAAAGATTCACTGGTAATGGGATATTTGAGTGGAAACTTTCAGAAAATAAGGGAGTGAGACAGAGAGAGATGGCAGGAATAAGAATTCTAGGTAGCGTGACTAGCAAGAGCAAAGGCCCTGAGGTGGCTGCATACTTGTCATGTTGAAGGAGCAGCAAGTAGGCCAGTGTGACTGGATCTAAGGGGTTGAGGAGGACTGGTTGGAGTTGAGGGCAGAGATTCATGGGGCAGGGAGAAACAGATTGTGTACTCCCCTGTAAGCCATGAGACTCTGAGCTAAATGTCAAACAAAGGGGGGTTTTTGTGCTTAGTATTGACATGATCTGACTTGTGTTTTAAGAGCATCACTCTGGCTGCAGTATTGAGAAATGCCCAAGGAGGTAAGAGCAGAAGAATGAGTCCTGGCTCAGAGGTTATTGCAAAATTCAGGCAGAAGTGAAGGACGATATTGATGGTGAAATGCTCAGCTGCCATGGTTTCAGATTCCATAGGAAAAGGACAGTGAAAAAGTAGAATTATTACTTCTTGTTGTAAGGAGAACTGGAAGAAGCAGGTGAGGGAGGACAAGAGATTCTTAGATTTTAAGTTTGAAATTCCTCTTAGACATCCAAGTGCCAATGTAAGTAAGCAGCTGAAAGTTTAAGTCTGGAATTCGAAAAAAATGTCCAAGCTATATTTATATATTTGTATGTCACAGGATGGTATTTGGATGATATTTAAAGTTATGAAACTGAATGAGATCACATAAACACAGCAGTTCCCGTATTTTATGTGTAAAATGTATATTTATATGGATTTCATCTCCAGGTATTTACTATATTAGATTTTATCTCTAAATATTTACTCTATTAGAGATTTTACTTATTTGAATTATATAGATATTTAAAACAGATTAAGAATAGATATTATAGAAATTAAAATAAGAATGTTTAAAACACAAAAGTGTACAGTCACACATTTTGTTGACCATCAAATGGTTATCATATAGCCTCTAGAAAATTTCACCATATGCTTCTTAGAGAAAAAGAGAGGAAAGAAGACAACATTTTAGTATTATTGTGAAAATAGTTTTATCTTTGCTCTGTGCAAAGTACAGAGTTATCAGAGTCTTTTGGGGAACTCTGGACCAAACTTTGAGAATGATGACTTAAGGAATACCTAATATATGTATAAAAAAGTGTTTTGCCAAGTATTGGTCTTTAGTGTATTTATAAAGAGATTTATGATCATTATTAAAATTTGACTGGTTTTTCAGCTCCATGCATGCTAAATTGATATGATATTTAAAATTATTAAGCCCCAAGAGTTTTACATATCTATGGGATTTTTCCTCCTTGACCACTTGCAATCAAATGACAGTTTTTCAAGTTTTCATTGAAATCAAGAGGCTTATAGTGCTATATGTAGCACAAACAGCATGTGGCATTTGCTATTGCTGCTCAGAATCACAAATGTGGAGTCATCACCGAGAGAGTACATGTTATGTAAGTAACACTGCAAATATCCACCATAATAAGACTAAATAACAGCAGCTATAGTTTGAGCCTCTTTAAGCACAGTTCCACATAATTTTTATCTTCACATTCTCTAGTATCTAGTGCAGTGTGAAATGAATCTGGAGTCAGTTGAAAAATAAATAAGTAAAAGAAATAGGAATATGGTTATTGGCTTGAAATAAAGCAATCTGAGTAAAGACATAGAGTTTATACAATTCAAGTTACAAAATTGAAGAAAATACTGATTCTGAATATGAATATATTAATTAACTTAATACTTGTTTGAGTATTTTCTGTTTATATACCATGATTTTAAAACTCGAAAATACTCTGAATACTAAGTAAACTTTTAAACTACAATAAAATTGCAAAATAAGAATGCAATTAGCTTGAAATTGTCCTAAATATCTACCTTCTAAATTTCTAAATTGGATGGAAGAGATGAGTGTATGAAAGCCATATATCTGTACTCATTTGGTAAAATAATACAGACCTTCTGTTAGGAAATAAAATTGTCTTTGATTATAAGGAGGTAGGGATCCTTCCATATAGGAAAGCAGTATCTCAGCATAGTGGCCTGAATTTTGTGAATTATGAACGTTTTCACTAAATGTATTCAATCTGAACCATTTCTGTAAGTTATATTGTAGACAATGATCCTCTTTTGGAAAGAAGGATGGCTCATAGGCATATATAATACCTGCTTATTATGTGGAAGGGTGTCAGGAACAAATTATGAAAGGATCTGCAGACTAGCCTGATAATATTGGATTTGACTGGACAGTAAGTAGTTATTATTCATTATAGAGTAGAACACTGATACGATGAATATAATATTGATGAAAAATTATTTTACCAGACATATATAAGCTAAAGGAATTAGAGGAAATGTTAAAAATAAGGAGAAATTACAATTTTTTGATATTTCTAGTATCATTGAGCATCATTCTAGAGATTTCCAAACTGGCTGTGGATTAAAAAAAGTGCACCTCTGACTTCTGGATGGTCAGAAATGTGATTTAGAGTACATCAAATTTTAAGAGCTATTTTCAGTCATTCATTCTTTCAGTCAACTAGGACCTCAATAAAGAAATTATGAAAGCACTTTTGCTCCCCATCAAGAAATTTCCTGAGTAATGGGATGAATGTTGTGATTGTGAAATAAGCAGTAGACTATAAGAAAATAAAAAGTAACATTTAGATTAGTGTTTTGAATTCTTTGTCTTCTTCCTCAAAGTGTTTGAGGAACGTATACATTCCATTGTTAAAAGTGACCTCAGTGTCCATGATTCTCAAAGGGGGCCAGTGCCTGGGGAAGGAGAGGTGGAGGGAGACAGAACAGTTGGAAAACAGCTCAACCAAGGATCATATAACCTTGGAGAAGCTGGTCTGAGCCCTCAGAGACCCTTGAGCAGAGCCATGCAAAACTTACAGAAGGTCAGCTGGTTCCCTTAGACCTTGTCACCAAAATAACTTTCTGCAATTTTTGTGTGTATGTTTGCTTTGTTTTGTTTGCATTTACTTGTTTATATCAAGCATATTTTCTCTGAAAATTCATTCTCCTCTTTTCCCTGCCACCACCCCCATCCCCCTATTTTTCCTAGAGAAAAAAGGAAACTCACTAGAAGACACAAATGCTAGAGTCTGCCTATGTGAAAATAGATCTTGTCCAATTCCTGGGGCCAAAAGAATTGTTTCCTCTTTCCATTACAGTTTCATAGGACGCTGAGGGAGAGTATCACATTTAGTGATAAATTGTCTGGGACATTCTCTCTCATCATGGTTCATTCACTAGGAACGTGTCTATGTGCTCGTCTGTGTCTCTTCTCTCTTTCTGTTGAGAGATTGACAGTACTGCAAAGGTCAGGAGCTGAATCAATTCATTATGGATTCCAGAGATCAGCTTATTTATAAATCGTCCTCATACTTTTTGAGCAAGTGTTTGCATTGTTTTTCTGGAGATCAAATATTCTTTTGCCCTATGTAACTAGTGGCTTTAACATATTTTGTCTTTTATTTAAAGTTGCAATTACTTGAACTCTTGAAAATAATTTGCTTTCTGTTGATCTGAAATTAGCTCAGGTGAAAGAAATACAAAATGATTCAGCTTGTCAAATATGATTTACTATGCTAGGGAAACATATCTCTAGCATGTTGGAGATAATCCTTTTCCTTGTTTTAATTTCTTCCCTGAGTAGCCCCTACAATTGTATAAGCATATTATATACATATTTAGTAAATCACAAGTTAAACACTCTTCATAGTAAAGATAAGGCTAAAAATAGTTTTATAAAAGTATTCAAAACTTTGAGACCATGTACATAGCCTCATGTTTTGCAAAGAAAATAAAAGAATATCATTTCTTATTTTAATTATTTTCCATTAAAAAAATTTTTTTTTCTAGTGTGCCCTGGTATGTGAATATACAGCACCAGAAAGTGTGAGCGGAAAAGATAACCTGCCTTTTTTGAATTCAGGTATGTAACTCAGTTTTAAGTACTTATGTTAATTTTATGTGAAAATGAATTTTAATTTTATATAAAGTCAACACCGAACCAGCATTCTCACAGTAGTTTCTGGAGCTTAGTAAATACACTGGGAAATCGCGAGGGTCCAGCAGAATGGGGGAAGATTGTACAATTCCACAGGAAAGATAAATGTGCTAGCTATATGGCAAAATGAATATGGCCATGTGCTGTATAATAATGACCTTTGGTCAACGACAACCGCATATATGACAGTGGCCTTATGAGATTGTGATGCAGCTAAAATGTTCCAATGCCTACTGGCATCCTGATGATCCTGACTCTGTATAGGCCTAGGCTAATGTGGGTGCTTTTGTCTTAGCTTCTAACAAAAAGTTTAAAAAGTAATAAATAACAAAAGGTTATAGAATAAGGAAAAAATATTTTTATATAGCTGTACAATGTATTTGTGTTTTCAGCTAAATATTATAAAAGTGTCAAAAAGTTAAGAAAATTTAAAAGTTAAAAAAATAAAAAGATTCCATTAATCCTAGATTATTATTCAAAAAGATTTATAAAATGTCATGTAGCCTATGTGTATGCTGTTTATAAAGTCTACCATGGTGTACAGTAATGTCCTAGGCCTTCACATTCATCCACCATTCACTCACTGACTCATCCAGAGCAACTTCCAGCCCTGCAGGCTTCGTTCATGCTTAGTGCCCTATACAAGTGTACCATTTTTAATCTTTTATACCATATTTTTACTGTACCTTTCCTATGTTTAGATACGTTTAGGTACATAAATATTGTTCTGTTATGTTACTGACAGTTTTCAGCACGGTCACATACTATACAGGTTGTAGCCTAGGAGCAATAGGCAAAACCATGTAGCCTAGGTGTGTTGTAGGCTCCCCCACCTAGGTACGTGTAAGTGCACTCTATGATGTTTGCACAATGACGAAATTGCCTGATGACTAACTTCTCAGAACATATCCCCTTGTTAAACTGCACATGACTGTAAATTTCTTTTAGCTGTTGGATCATGTCTTATCCAAAATAAGAAACACTAGAAGACAGTGTGAAGCTCTTGTTTAGTTTGACTTCCTAAATCTATAACTACTCATAAAGTTGTTAAAACAATAGATATATGGATTCAGTAGGAAAACCTCATAGTCACATTTGTGCATTCTGGGGTATATATGTGTGTACTGTATTACAGTAATATGGATCAAACTATATATTAAATGTATTTATGAATAAAATTGAGACATATCATACAGTTAAAACATATGGTAATATGAATATATAAAATTATGGAACTAATGTTTAAATGATAATGTAAATTAAATGACCATTAGTAAATGATGACTACTATAGTGAGAGGCAATATGTTAGTGCCTTATATGTCTGTCTTTGATAATCCTGTGGCATGTGCTATGAGGAAGGCACTATCATTATCCATATTTCACAAATGAGGAAGTCTTCAAGGTCACCTATGCAGTAAACAATGGGTCCAGAATTTAAATCCACTTCTATTCCACTGCCTTTGCTCATAAGTAATAGGCTGTGGTTTTACTAAGAAGGCATTAGTCGACAAATTGATGTCAAAGTAAAATACCTTACTCTTTTTTTCTAGCCCTGCCATGTTGTACATTTAAGCTGTGACATACATAGCATGATAATCAGATTAATGAATAATACAGAAATTCAAAGGCTTACAAATTCATAACTTCTAAATTATTAGCAGTTTTCTCTGGCAAGAGGCAGTCAGGCAGTCAACTATAGGGAATGGAGAAGGAGAGACATCCCTTTGGCTCTGTTTATACACACAGATAAATAAAATACAATTTAATTGAGAAACACGTTTAAAAACATCAAGTCCACTTACACAGAATGAAGAAATAAACCAAAGAGGCACAGGTGCTTCTCAAACTATGACCAAGTGAAATGGGATTATTCTTTGTTTTTATGAAAGATATGATATTGTGCAGTATGTGCTAAATAGTGTTTTGAGGGGTTTACCCAGCCAGCTATTAATAAATCAACCATACATTATAAAAGCACCTGAGTTATTAGTGCTTTTAAAACATTTAACGTATTATCAAAGGGATCTCCTCACATTTGTTTTCAACCTGAACTAAACCTTTAGTTCTTTACTGTGTTCATAAACTATAATATATTTCATTCACCAAATGCCAATTTTTAAAAATAAATTTGAGTGGGATATTAAGTTCGTGTTAAATGCAGCTTGACTCGGGTTATGACCAAAATCATCTATACTGTAATTATAAGACAAAGTTTAATGATTGACTTATGTGAGCCTTATAACTTTTTATACACAAAAAAAGAAGTGCAATTTTACTTATTGGTTAAGTACAAATTTTAAGGAGAAAGAGAAACATTACTTTAAAATCAAGCAAACATATTACTTAAGGAAAAAGAGGACAGAGAGATCATATTGAAAAATAGATCTTTACTTCTCCATAGCTGTGCCATAAAACCTGTAAGGCACAAGTCTTGGAAGCCATATGAAATATTCCAGACTGCCAGGGTATTTGTTTGTTACATATAAATTGTAATATGACAAAAACTGCTGACATGAAATTTATGGGAGCATCTGCATTCTGCATTGTAAATATATATTGTGGAGTGAAAGATGATTGATGATTGCTTTTATCCTTTTATGGAGGTGACAGTTTGGTGGTGACAGTCCACTTAGTTCTGAAGATATTTCTAAATTTCTTTAGTCCAGTTACCCTCTGGAGGACCACTCAGAACCTAGGTTATTTGCAACAGATATTTTTCTTGGAATCATCTTATATTAGAGAAAGATCAGAATAAATGAAAGTAAAATGTTTAAAGACTAGATTTTTAAAAACCTTATAAAAATGCAATTAAGTGCTATTCATAAAATGTTTCTGTTCAAAATATAAAGGTGCATTGTGCAGATATAGAATATGTATGTGTATGACTTTGGCCTGTGTACTTTTATCTTTTGTTCTATTTATTTATCTATCTAAACTCAGCAACTTTGGAACTAATCCATTCTATACCCATGTGCTATTTCTTTAATCTGTAGGCAAAGTGAGCCTATTGACATTCTTCTCAACTCTTTGTATTAATGTCTTAAATGGAGCTTTTCAGTCTCCAGTGAGTTATGAACTACTTACTGGGTGGGAGAGAATGCCATACCTCATAACAGTTCTTCACTATTCTATTTACATTTCTAGAGATTTTGGTATAAATCAGGAAATTCACTTATCTGTAGTAAAACTAAGAAGAAAAGCACTTTCCCCTAAGGTCTCACCCTTTCCATACCCTTGCAGGTTGAAGGTTTATATTGGGAATCTGGGGAATTCAGGAGAAGAAGAGAAAAAATAAGGAAGAGATGGGGCAGAATTTATAATTCCATAAGATATAGAAGTACCTGAGTTACATGGGAAGACAAACAAGGCACACTAGAAGACACAGTTTGTATTAGAATTGTAAAGCTCTTAATTTGACTTTCTAATTACCTAACTTATAAAATTAGGTTTTTAAAGAGTAGACTTATCTCTAATGATTTGCTTATTTATTTAACCAAAATAGTACTAAGAAAGCTTTAAAGTATTTTCTATTGGAAATGGGGTGAAAAGGGGAGTAGGGGAAATGAATTTTGACTGTATAGAAGTGGAGATGGTAAGGTCTTTCACATAGTCATGGAGTTTGGTGCCTGAGTCACACTAACTGAGGTACCTTGTCTGCAGCACAATGATAAATGGGCTCTGGTAGTATTAATACAAGAACACAGGATGGGCTGACAGAAGAACTGGTTTTAAAGCCCAGATTTTCAACTAGCAGTTTGATCCTGAAAGAGTTCAGCTTTTTTGCCTTTCAGTTATTTTTAAATGACCAAATTAACCTAAACAATTTTTGACTTCCGTTCTGGCTCTTCAGTGTTTGAAGCTGATGTAGCATAGGTAAGCCTTTGCTATGTTCTCCTTCTTTTTAGAACCACTTCACGGAAGTATTCATTTTCATCAGTTTTATATGGAGGAACATTTGTCATATACAGTTTTCTTTCTTGGGTTATTATTTATAGTTAAAATGTCTGGCCAGTGATAAAATATTTAAAAATGTTGTAAAGATAATTCTCTGTTAATTTCTTAATTCTCTCTTTTTTTGGTAAATTTGTTATATAATTCTATACAGTACTTCAGCCCATAGATCCCCATATTACCGTGCCAAATCTGAGAAGCTTGTAGACCCTATCACAAAGTTTCGTATTATGGTCCAATTTAGAGTGAGTTTCCCCCACTCAGCAAGCATTAGGTCTGATGCAGTATTTTTATATATCTAACAGCAATAATTTCCATGACTGTATGAGTTGGAATCTAAACAAAGATGAGGAGGCTGTGCTGCTATTAGTCATAAGTACATGCAGTTCACCCTCCTATGTGGATAACTTACTGGTGTTTATACTTCTTGCTTCACAGCTTTGATTCTTTTTCCTCAAATAGTGTTAAACCATCTATTTTTGTTGCTTTGAAGAAGATACTAGATTTTAAACTACTTAGGAAGAAGGAACATTGCTTTTTTTAAAATTTGCAGTATATATCATTTTGTGTTGATATGCACTGGACACTTAAACCTTATAAATTGAATTCCTCATTATTTAGCATGCACCCTTTCCCATTGATCTACAAATCTCCAATTAGTTAGAACTTGGTTAATATTTATTGGTTAAAAAAATTGTTATAAGGAATAAAAATTTCCAGCCCTGCTGAATGTGCCCCTGATATTTCAAGAGAACCAAGCAAGAGAGCTGATTTTCCCACATGGCCTTTTAAATGATGGTGACTCCTAAGCCTAAACACACACACACACACACACACACACACACACACACACACACACACACATGCCGTGAAAGAGAAAAACACAGACAGAGAGGCAGAGATGGAGAGATAGAGACAGAGAGATAAAAACAGAAAGAGGGAAAGGAGGGAGAGGAAAGGGTGCTTTTCTTT